TTCGGCAGCGTCGCTGAGGCGAGCGCGCAATCATCAGTCGGGTCGCCGTGGCGACGCCATATTGGAAGTTTCCCGCGCTCTTCATCAACGGCGACGCTACATCAAGTACCTCCCGAATTCTTCGTGAGCAGCAGCGACATAGCGGTAATCAGAATTTTAAGCGACCGGAGGTAAAGCGGGTCGGTAGCAGGCGCGGCGGATCAGTGGTCCGTCCGATCTTTAGAGCGTTCGCCGGTGTGTGTGGTGTACGTTAGTATCGAGTGCGGCGCGGCTAGGATATGGCACCACCCACGGTCGAAGAGTTGCAGGAGCAGTTGGCGCAGCTGCAGGCCGCGTTTCAACAGGGTCGCGGGCCGGTTGGCAATGTCGCGCACATTGATTCGTACCGAATTCCTAAGATCCCACCGTTTTTAATTAAAGATCCGGTCATATGGTTCATCCAAGTAGAGGCGACGTTTGAGGCTGCGCGAATCACGGATCAAAAAACCAAGGCACATCATGTGGTCATGACTTTGGATGCGGAAGCCATTGCATGCTGTCGCGACCTCATCGCAGAGCCCGATGAGAACGAGCCTTACTCAAAACTTAAAGCGCGCATAATCGAGAATTTCTCCGTTTCAGCGGAAAGCCAATTACGACAACTTATCAAGGGTCAAGTCCTAACGTCCGGTAAGCCGTCGCAGATTCTCGGTAGGTTACGCAATCTCAATCCGGACAAGCGATGCGACGACGCGGTTTTGAAAACAATTTTCTTTGAATATTTATCGCCATATGTCAGGGGAATCCTCGCAACTACCGAGTGCGCGGACCTCGATAGGTTGGCCAAAATGGCCGATAAGATCACGGAAACCGCGGCAGACTCCGTGCAATGCGCAGCCGCGTCGGTAAAAGCAGCTCAGCCGACCGATCTCGAGAGCAAAATCGATAAACTTGCCGCCGATTTAACAACCCTCGCAGCCGAGGTCAAGCGATCGAGCAGGCCTCGTGTTAAAGGCGGACCCGATAAAGACCGGAAACGTTCTGAGAGTAGGCGTCCCAGTGTATGCTGGCCGCACCGAACGTTCGGGGACCAAGCGCGAGCTTGTAATGGCACCGATAAATCCCCGTGCACATGGCCAAAACCCAAAGCCATCGCCGACGGGAAGGCGGGGGAATAGAGTCGTCTGTCATCGCGGAGGCGAGCATGACAGACCCTAACACGTCTTTTCGCCTCCATATTCGGGATCGCGTGTCGGGGGAAGTGTTTCTAATCGATACAGGTGCGGAAATTTCGTTACTCCCCTGCATCGACGGGGAGAAGCAAACCCCTAGCAGCCTAAAATTATACGCGGCGAATAACACGATAATAAATACCTACGGCGTAGTGTTTCGCACGGTACACCTCGGTATACGCCCGCTGACGTGGAATTTTTGCGTAGCATCAGTGCCGTACCCTATTATCGGGGCCGACCTGATATCGCACTACGGTCTCCTTCCGGACTTAAAAAGTCGTCGACTCATTGACCCTCACAACAGCGCGTTCACGCCAGGAGTGGTCGAAGCGGTGCCGCCATTAACGATCAGCACGGTCAATCCCGACACAAAATTCGCGCGTATTCTATCCGAATTCCCGGAAGTCACCGGTCTTGAGCAAGCAATTCCGATCAACAATAGCGGCGTGTATCATCACATCATCACCTCGGGTCAGCCTATATCAGAGCGTCCGAGAAGATTGAGCCCAGACAAGCTCAAAGCAGCAAAGGCCGAGTTCAAGCGACTGGTCGAGCTCGGCATTTGTAAACCATCCAGTAGTCCGTGGGCAAGTCCGATCCATATGGTCCGTAAGAAAGACGGATCATGAAGAATCTGCGGCGACTATCGTCGTTTGAATGCAATAACCGTACCGGATAAGTTTCCTGTACCGCACCTGCACGACTGCTCCTCCAATCTTCGCGGAAAGGTCATATTTTCAAAATAAGATCTCCATCAGGCGTACAATCAGATTCCTGTCGCGCGTGAGGACATCCAAAAGACGGCGGTCGTTACGCCGTTTGGACTGTTCGAATATAACTACATGACTTACGGTCTTCGTAACGCCAGTCAAACCTTCCAACGTCAAATCTTCCGTTCATTAGGAGATCTAGAATTCGTATTCGCATTTATCGATGACATACTCATAGCGTCAACGTCATTAGAAGAGCATGAGAAACATTTGCGCGTGGTGTTAAAGCGATTGAAGGAATGTCACCTACGTCTTAACGTCGAGAAGTGCCAATTCGGTAAGCAAGAACTGGAATTTCTCGGAATGATTATTAATAACGAAGGGTGTAAACCATCTCCGACTAAAATTCAAGCGATTAGTGACTTTCCCAAGCCGCAAACGATTATCGAGTTGCGTCGCTTCCTCGGCCTTGTAAACTTTTATCGCAGATCGCTCCGTGATGCAGCCACAGTTCAGGCACCGTTGAATGGGTACCTCCGTGACTCGCGCAAAAATGATAAAAGGGCTGTCGAATGGACACCGGTGGCCGAGGAAGCTTTTAACAAATGCAAAGCGATGCTGGCCAACGCAACAATGCTGGCACACCCCTCTGACGCGGCAGAGACGCGCCTTGTGTGCGATGCTTCCGACTTCGCCTTGGGAGCAGTACTTGAGCAACGCCTCGATAACGCATGGAAGCCTCTGGCATTTTTTTCGCGGAGACTTAGTCCGGCACAACTCAATTATAGTGCCTACGACCGCGAACTCACGGCAATCTACGAAGCGGTAAAGTATTTCCGATACTTTCTGGAAGGCCGCGATTTTAAAATTGCAACGGATCATAAACCTCTCATTTGTGCATTTATGCAGCGCTCCGAGAAAGCGTCACCGCGACAACAGAGACAGCTCTCATTCGTTTCGCAATTTACTACACGCATTGAATACCTGTCGGGCGATAATAATGTAGTTGCAGATTGCCTCTCCCGCATCGAAACCATTCGCTTGCCAGCTGAAATTGAGTTAAACGAATTGGCACTGCAACAGGAACGGGATGAGGAACTGAAATCAATTCGCGAAAACCCAGACCTCTCTATTTCCTTGAAAAGAATTCAATGGGGTCCGACCCACACAACGCTATATTGCGAAATGACCGGAGAGGCAATCCGTCCGTACATTCCCGCGTCTTTGCGGAAGCAAGTATTCCACTTGTTTCATGACATGGCTCATCCCGGTGCCAAAGTCACGGACCGAGTAATTCGCCAACGGTACGTTTGGCCGAACATGCATCGCGAAATGGTGTAAGAATTGTATATGCTGTCAACAATCAAAGATTTCGCGTCATGTCAAATTAAATCCAGATAAATTTGTAGCGCCGGACAACCGTTTTGAACATATCCATATGGACATTGTGGGTCCGTTACCCGAATCCGAAGGATTCAAGTATTGTGTAACCATTATAGACCGATTTTCTCGCTGGCCAGTAGCAGTTCCCGTCAAGGACATCGAAGCAGCCACAGTAGCTCGCGCGCTGTACGACAATTGGATCGCTAATTTCGGGACTCCCATAACGTTGACTACCGACCAGGGCAGCCAATTCGAGTCGCACTCTTCTCTGCGCTCTTGCAGTTGATTGGCTGTCGGCGTATCCGTACTACGGCGTACCACCCCGCCTCAAACGGTATAATTGAGCGGTGGCATCGAACTTTTAAGGCCGCGATCATGTGCCATGCGGGCATGAATTGGACACGAACGCTCTCGACTGTCATGTTAGGGCTGCGCACCCACGTCCGCCTCGACACCAACGCCTCGCCTGCGAAATTCGTGTTCGGCACGTCGTTGCGCGTTCCGGGAGAATTCGTCCTCCCAGACGACTTCACACCCAATCCTCACGTATTCATCGAAGAATTCCGGGAATACATGCGAAAGGTTAAACCTGTACCGGTAGAGCACAGACATAAAAAACGTGCGTTTGTCTTCAAAAATCTGTTCTCGTGCACACACGTCTTTCTCCGCGTGGGAGCCACCAAAAAGGCATTAGAGCGACCATATACCGGTCCCCACAAAATTATTAACAGAATCTCCGACCGCGTTTTCGATATAGATATTAACGGCACAAAACGCAGCGTCTCCATAGAAAATTTGAAACCGGCGCATTTCGTACCCGATGACCTAAGTAATACTCTGGGTAACGAACAATCCGGCCGGTCAGGCAACGGCCGCCCAGCATTAAAAACTTATGGGCGTCACAAACAAGTTACTTTTGCCCAATCAAGCGAGCAATACTTCCCCGCGTAGTCGTTAAAGCAACTTCGTTCATAAACGGTACGTAATGACGTAGTCTAAATCTTAAGCTCAGCAATAAAAATGTACCTGCGACCAACTTAGCGTTAAGAAAAATGTACCGGCGACCAACTTAGCGTTAAGAAAAATATACCGGCGACCAACTTAGCGTTAAGAAAAATGTACCTGCGACGAGCGTAGTGTTAATAAAACTTTATAAAGAAACAACATAAAGACAGCGGTAAATTCGTTGTTACTCGGGGGGGAGTATGTAGGGAACTGCGTCCACCACTCTCTCTCCTAGCGCATGTAGTGGTAGCAAGCTTGGGGATATTTTAGCGCGCTAGCCGCCTGCTGGTGGCAGTTTTGTAACCAGAAAAATAGTGAGATCGACTCGGGCAGTCGACACGAGCAGTAAGCCATTAAGAATAAATTTGTGTTCATGTCTAAGTAATTATCGAGAGTGGTTATTCCGTTCCTTCCATCACGTCTTCGACTACGGGCGTGGGCCCGAGCTGAGAGGCAAGACCTTACCAGGTCGCTGCCCACAACTATACTTCATGTGGCGCCATCTCTACATCATGTGCGTAATTTAATTATTTCTATCAATCTCTATATTATCCACGCTAAAAATCGATCCAAAATTCGCATATAAAATTCGCGAACAGACAAAGAATTAAGAGCTGAGCGTTGTAAGTGTTTTGAAAGATCGCTCGTGCGGTTCGGACGTATTCTATCTCGAGCGTTACATATCACCTCGATTTATATTTTTAAATTACGTGCATCATAGCCGTAACGCCGTAAGCGTCCAGTGTTTGGAGGGTCCCGCATCATTTTCGCAGCAATGGTAAAAATCGATATTTCAGAAAAATCGATAGAGTCGTTCTTGACACTCGTAGAGTGTCGTAGACCATAAATTAGAGTTTTTTATGTTTTATACGATTTTTTACGTATAATATCGTATAATACAGTATAATACAGTATAATGTAAAAAACTAAAAAATCCTCGGATAACCCTGATGTTACTGGAAGCCCTCGGTATGCTCTTCACAATCAAATCATGTAAAAAAATTAGCCAAATTGTAAAGAGTGCTATCTATTGATGATATTATTATGCGATACGGGCAATCAGTCTTGTGTACTTCGGTAGGACATAGACCCTAGGCAGAATACCATCACTACAAAATAAGCGTTTATAGGTAACCTCAGAGATGTATTCTCGCTTCTTGTCAGTAAGGTCCTTAGACTACTATTAATCCTAAAGGACGGATTCCTTGAGATTTTTGTATATGTCTTATCATCCAACAACATATTATTAACTTTATTATTATAATCGTCCTTATTCAACGCTACTGTGATATTACCCTTGTCTGCTTTAGTAAAAATAACGTTAGGATTGTCTTTAATGAACCTTGGAGATGAACGCATTGCTTTTTGAAGCGAGTGGAAAATGAAATTCTTCTTATGATCAAGAGAGAAAAGACGTTTTATGATAGGCACTGATCGAGTTCTTATGCCCGTTTCCTCCACAGTGCTTCAATACTTGAACCGAGTTTAAACTCCGATCAAAGACATTTTGCGTTCCACCAACTTTTTAGAAAAAGTTCAAAGCGATTGAACGGCGTTCATCGTGAACGGTCATTTTTGGCCGGTTAACGAATTTGAACGCCGTTTAAGCAGAAGCTAACACGATAAGTCAATATTTTAAGGTTATGTGCAGTGTCTTCTTGAGATATACTATATATATATAATATATATATACAAAAAAACGAGTATGGCATATTACAATATTTTATCATCATCCGACGACGATGAAGATATAATCCGGTAAAAACATTTATTTATAATATTGTATATGTTTATACGTGTTATTTATATATATTTATGTATATTCATACGTGAAAAATTTTTTACCGG